CTGTCTTAATGAGAGAAGGACTATGACACTTTAACCTAGAAAAAGGATAACTTAAGTAGACATAACTGACATGTATAAAGTCTCAAATGGAGAAGATTAAGAAACATCATTAACTTGTCTCTCAGAATACAAAATGTGTGATAGACTTATCAGAGATCATGACCAGAAAAAATAAGATACTTTTTTTGTACATCACAAAAGGAGGTTATATCTGCTAAATGCTTATAGAGTTTCAAAGAATAACTGAAAAAATAATGAAGAGAAAATCCTTGAAAAGCAGTATCTTTAGATTGTTCATTGTATTTCTGCATTTTGCAGATCCAGATCTGATCTGGACACATCATGTCCATGCAGTTTATATTCAGACTTCTCTTGGGAACAAGTCAACCAAGTCCCGCTGAGGATTTGGACATCAGAATGTGATGTCATTACTATGCTTTTACAACTACTCTATGGAGGATTGTAGCATGCCTGTCTCCCCATTTGGTTAATTTGCAGTTGCCATGCAAACGAGGTGGCCTAATTGTGGACAAAGTCTAACCTTTAGCGTCATGGGCACAAGTCAATCTGCTCCAGCTGATCCAAAGGTTAAAGCTCACTACCATGTGTGGTCCACAAAGCTAACAGTGTAGCCAAAATACATTAAGTCATGTTTAGGAAGTATCTGACCTAAAGGTGATGGGAGGATAAACCATGGAGGTATGCTTGCTTCTCACTCTTGGCTCTAGACTCTGGCTGGTATCTGTTTTTATGTCTTTCATGAGGCGATAAGAGCCCCTTGCTGGAAATAATGACTTATACTTTACAGTCAGTGTTATTTTCTGTGTGTGTCCTCTTTTTGAATAAGACTATCTATCAGACATAAATATGATGTAATCTTTTATTTTTGGTCTCGGTCATCAAAGTCTGTACTGCCACAAAGTAGCCTGTATAATGGACATTGTTTGAGAATCTTTGAGTTTGGAAGGGGTCTCTGGAGATTGCCTGGTCCAACCCCATGGTCTGTTTAAGAAACATATGAAATTGATTTTTTAGAATACATAGCAATAGGCATTTGAAAGTACATGTTTATCTGTGGTATGCCTCTCTATCACTCCTGATCTGATAAACTAACTTAAAAGACACAGAAAATGAGAACATCCTATTGCATCTTTACTTGTGACCTCGTCTTGCATGTACAATTTCAATGTTGAAATGATTATTTTAATATTAAGTGTTGTCCATGTCTCACAAGGGTAGATTATCCCTTCAGTGACTGCTTTTACATTTGACACTACATTTTCAAAATGCAATGTATTGGCTTAAAAAGACAAAATGATATTATATTTTCTGTAAGTGCAGGCTTTTACTTTTTCTGTATAAATTACCTTGGCTATTTGAATGTAATCACAGTAATTTTTGAATTTTTCAAAATAACCTCTCATGCAATGTGAAATTACTTATAGTAACTTTTGATTCAAACCTGAACCCTGGTTCTGTTAATACCTACTCCTGTTTGTAAACTTTGTGTAATATCAGTGAATTGAGAGGAAACAGAGTAGGAGAAAAACAGTTTAAGTGTACAGAAGTACAGGAGGAAAATGCTAAATTATATGTTACTTTTCCAAAATAAGATTGTGTTTAAGAACAAATTTGTTACTTTCTCGAAGTACAAAAGCAAAAGTTTTCTTTTTAATTTATGTATTTAAGTGCAATCTGATTATTCGCTTTGCTCATTTAGTTTTGCATTTAGAATATTAGAACTGTTTGCTATCACAAGGTGCTGATACAAATTGCACTGGTGTAAGTTTCTCATCCTTGATTTATCACTGCACTAAAACTGAAAGGCACTCAGTGGTTCATATCAGGAATTCATCAGACAAAGTAACTCAGAATCTGAGTTACCAAGGTGTTTAAAGAGAGAAATGAATATATATGAAATTAGGAGTTTAAAAGTCTCAAATCAAGGATTCTGTAAAGTCATAGGCACTGTAGCTCAGTTTTAGCAAGAGTTACATATCCTTCAACCTTATGCTCAAGGCCAGCATTTAGCTGAATCTCAAATGAATAGTTCTTAAAAAAAAAAAAAAAAAAAAAAAAAGACTGATGTTCCTTTTCACTCACAGATTCACTCTGTGAATAGCTATGTACAGGAACTATACAATAAAAATGAGAATTAAGTGGTGATTTTACAATTAGGCATAATAATGCAAACCTTCAACTTGTTTTACCAACTTTTGAAGTTGAACCCATTTAGTAGCTTTATTTTCCTTTCTTTTTTTCTGTTTACTTTAAACATGATATCCTCAGACTGCTCATTTATGGCCAAAGATGTGAATTTATGGAGAAACATAGGACAAGATGTATCTTCTGAGTTCCCACATCTTTTCATTAAACTGTGTGTCCTGTTGAGAAGAAAAGTGCTTTCACCACTTATTCCCTCTCAAACAAGAGACTAGATAGAGGACACAAACTTCAGACTCCACCTTCATTAAAAAATGGATTCTGAAAGGTAGAGCAGGAATATGACAGCTGCTGTACCAGCTTACTTCTAGTAAAGACCAAGAGCTACTACCTGTAATTTTGAATGTTGGCAATGTTTTTTTTGCTCCTAGTATGGTACAGGTATGTGTTGTTCCCTAGTCAGAGTAAATTGCTTAAATACATGCCATCACATTTAGTTCTTAATCAAGAACTCGTTACATGAACATTAAGAAATGAATTTTTGCATTCTAAGGGCAATATTTACTGATTTCTACACTTACAGTTTGTGAAACAAAAAAAGAAACAGAACCTCACTTTCATAACCATAGCAGTAGTTTAGGTATTTTCATTGCATTAATCTTGCTGCTACATGTCCCTTTCACATTGTGAGAAGACAGAATGTGACAGAAAAAATCTGTAACATCATTCAACATCTGATTGCCTGCCCTTTTCCCTCAAAGCCAGTTTGCATGCCTACAAATATCAGTGTTTCCCAGTGGAATTTAAGGGATAAAATATTGTCTCTTGAGCTGAAAATTATTTAGCCAAAGATTCTTCAGTATTTGGGAATTCTGGCTGGATGATTTTAAAAGCAAAACCATATGTCGTTTACATGATTTGGAATTTCTCCAGCTGTATAGAACAAGAGGAGAAGAGTGGGAAAAAAAAAAGAAGACAGCTAATACTAATTAGATGATAATAAATACAGGTGCTATAGTGTGTAGTGTAATTCATCTTCATAGCAAGCTGTGGGATGAGTCAGAGATAGCAGATTCTGAGTGATACTATTCTATACATGTGCGTGTATATTCTTGGTACATACTAAGATTCAAATTAACATAAAACTGGAAGGATTGTGTAACACATACTTTTCAGTATTTGAGATGCACAATCTTGTCTAGGTGGGGAAAATAAATTGAATGGTTTTTGTTTGGTTTTGTTTGTGTGTTCCTCACTGCAAATGCAATCAGAGTAGTAGCAGGAAAAGATGGATGATAAGTTCATCTACATTGATCCTGGCCAGAGCTTGTCCATGGGCTCACTTCCAGACTTCCCCATAATTTCCTTTCCTATTCTAGGCAGCAAGGTGCCTTTACAAGAGGGCCCTTCCCTCTCCTACAAAAGCCTTATTCCTGGCTGTACCTGGTCTGCTGAGATCAGATTAAGCTTGGACTGACCTCCCAGCCCTCCTATATGACTTGCTGCACAGGAAAGCTGTTACATGCCTGCCCAGTGTTACCACCCCCACAGCAGGAGACCTGGCTCATATGCAGTCTCTGGTCTTTTTCATGTATTGGAAATCATCATGAGGCTCTGTTTTTTCCACATTTCCAGAGAGAGAAGTGGTTTCAGATGGTGCAGATTTGACTCATCTACAGCTCTTTCAGTGCTGAGTACCAGCAAGCCATTGCTGGTACTGAAGGACTGGTGGTCCTGTTGCCGATGGACGTGTGTGTGATGTGATCCTGCTGTGTGATGGACGTGGCCATGCACATCAGTGTTCAAGAGCGAGAGCACAAAGGGGAAGTGGTTCTGTGCAAAAGGACGATTAAAAGCATGGTTTGAGCCTGGCCTTATGAGCTGCTGCTTCTATAATGGGAAAGCTCCCTAAGACATGCTTGTGTCTGCAATAACAGAAGAAGGCACTGTTGTACTCCCGCCTCCAGGAATTTACCACAATAAGATGTTGTGTGGTGTTGTGAAAAATACGAAGAGAAAACCCCCCTGCATGAAAATTTGATCGAATAATTAAAAATGCATCAATAATTGAAACACGGGGACTACAGAAGCTTTCTGTTGTTGTTCTTGAGAAGAAATGCTTAAAGTGAAGGATCCATACGTGATGCTGGGGCAGCAAATAGCTATTTGCAGGATGGATCACTCAATTTCCTTTGCCTGACAAACAGGACTCCCGGAGCTCATTGTGCTGTGTGTGTGGGAAGCATGGCACTGCAATTTGCTGTTGTCAGCACCCAGCCTTCCCCAGGCTGCAAGCCCTGTGCTCCCAGCACAGCGCTGCGTCGCTTTGTGTGATGGGTGTGCAGAGATGCAGTTATAACATGCTGGGAAACCACTGCTGATGCACGGGGTTTGGCTTACGGCTTCGTTTCTTCATCACAGTGAGACGTTATCATGGACTGAGTGTGGGGTGATGTGTGTGAACAAGCGGTGTTTCACGGCTGCTTATAGAATCAGCGATGTAAAGTAAGCGAGAATGGCAGTTGCATTAAATAACACTCTGATCTCTCAAGCATATTCTTAACTAGTAATCTCCCCGTAGCAAAACACATAGCTAATCAACCTCCCAGCCTGCCAGTGAACTTGCAGGGGAATTAAATCCTGGAGGAAGGAGCCCGTGCCCCCGAGGAAGGCTGAGTGCATGTTTCGCTGTCGTCTCTGCAGCTCATCTCCCTGGTCCCACTGCTAGAACGTGCTCTGTTGCCATGGCAACCCCATCTCCTGCTTCCTACAGGAAAGATTAGCTCGCGCTGTGCACTGGAGAGAATTTAGGGGAAGTCAAGCTAATCCCTGGGTGCACTGCGAGAGAAAGGTTGGACCTCGCCTGAGGGATGCTGTACCCGCACTGATAGAATTGGCCTGCCACAGACACTGGTATTTAAGTTGAAGAGCAGAATTCACAGTAAGTGTCAGATCCTCCAGAGAGGAATATCGGATGAGGTTTTCTAAGTCTCGCTGAAGACTGTCCCATGCCAACAGTGGAATGACAGCAGGAGGCTGTGTGTGGAATACCAACGTGTTCCACCCGGTTAGGTGCTATTTCAAAGACAGATTCAAAGCCTCAATTCCCTGGAACCTAGGTGATAAAATTTTAAAGCATCATGGTGAGACGTGCACATGGAAACCTGGAGCGTGCCTCGTTTGGTGCGCAAAGCTGAGCAAGTGATGATGTGTGTGCCTTACAAATTGCGTGCCTCGGGATTCCGTGTGCCAAAAAATGAGCGGGAAATGTGCTTGGTGTGTGCTGCAATCCCAGCTGCAAACGTGCTGAGCTGCCAGTAGTAAGCGTGAAAATGGACAACTCCTGATTCAGCAGTGTGTTTTCTTCCTATTAAAACCCAAACAGAGAAAACATCAGCTTTTTAAAGATATAGTCACAATCCCAGGTTTTCTTTGAGGAGAGCTCATTTTGCTGTAGCTGAATTGAGGCGTTGTGTGACATGATGCAGCATGTGAAATGTGTGTCTGTTCTATTGCTCGTAGCAGTTAACAGAGGGTGTTGTAGCTGTTTCTGCCAGTTGTTTTAATGCTCTCGTTTTCTTTGCTGTGGTCCTGTATTTCACTTTAACAGATGCTCAGGTCTCCCAGCTTTAAACTAGACAATTTGCAATAAGATTTGAGCTGCTTGTTTTTTTGTTACTGTCAGCTTGTCCTAAAGTTGTTTTTTTTTTCTTCAGCTCTTTCTATATTCAGCCTATGTATTTTTACAGCATTAGTATGTTTGTTTTCCCTGTTGAGTTTTTAAGTGGAAAAGTAAGTTAAGATTATTTAATATATACAAATACTATCTAATTTAAATTTATTTATGCGTATGTTTTACATGTATAAAGTGTATATGTGTGTGTGTTTCTGCAATACATACCTGCACGCATACATGCAGACAAATGGGTTCTTTGTTTTAACGAGGCCCATTAGTGATTTGTGATAATATAACTAACCTTTTTTCCCTTTAAAGAATAGGTGATTTTTGCATATCTAAAACATTTCTTGTTGCAAAAACCCAATAAACAATGCTTAGTCTACTTAAAGAAACGACACTTTCCATATTTCTCTCTGTTTCTATAGAGTAAAAAGGGAAAGCATCATGGCTGATAGGATGAAAGACCACTGTGTTGTCTTTTCTGAGACCTGGGTCCATGAAAGGGGTTCTGAAGGGATATATATTTTCTCCTATTCCCTCCCAGGGCATCTCAGAACGACTCACACATAAGCCCTAGATTGATTAATATAAGAGCAATCTTCTCTGAAACTTTTTTTTTGTTTGTTTATTTTGGCTTGTTTACCAAATAGTAAGAGAACTGTTAATCAAAAAGAATGTCTGTCTTCTGCATAGGTGGTAAAATCAGTAGCCACTGCATCTGTAGAGGACTATAGAAATAAACACAAATGATATGGAAGCTTTATTGCATTTTTCAGGCTAGCCCTTGAATATGTGGTAGACTTATGGGTAGTAGGGAATCTGCACAAGTGCCAAGCAAAGTGGGGATCATGATAAGACAAAATTCATGAAATAAATGTTTTTTATAAGAGAGAACACTGAGAAATTAGCGCTCATTACCCTTCCAGTTAAATTATTGATTAAAAAGTCCCTTCTGCACATGGGGATATTTGCCAGAGAATTCACTGTATGCCTTCACAACTTCTATGAGGCTGTTTTAGTGAGGCCTTTTAACTTAGCTGTTTACGGATCTCTAAAAATTGTATGTGGTTAACTGCAGAAGTTTTTCTACCTTTTGAACAATTTTGTTAAATTAAATTAAGCAAGATGTTGGATATTTTTTATCTCAAAACTGTGCTTTTTTTTTTTTTTTTTTTTTTAAATCTAGTGTCTAAATATTGTACGGAATAAGTTGGCTGGTCAAACTTTGTCTCCACTTCTTCTGTCTTCCACAAATCACACAATTTTAGGAAGTTGCTCCAAAGTTTTATTAGGCCTGAATTTTCACTAGGGCTCTTGAATTCCTTTTCTGTATTCTCTAGACAATTTTACTACAAACTGTAAACAGGACTGACTGCATCTGTGAAAGTGCAATAAGGGTCAAAGCCTGCTCTCAGACCCATAACCTGTGCTGCATTCTCTTTCATGAAGAGGATGTGAATACTTCTTGTAACAGTGTGAAGGCAGATCCTTGTAGTAGAGGCAGCTCAGGCTCATGAGTTCAGGCCTCCAAACTTGAGAGAGTTCCTGTATAAACTCTGTGTTTTGATTAAAGAAAATTAATTTTCTATAGTTACAAGAGCAGAGGTAACTCACAATGCTGTACATAAAAAAATAAATCAGAGTTCCTCAACTCCTAAAAATTATAGCAGCAGCATCTTCTACTGAGTTTCTTTAGTTGGATTCTCTTGCTGTGAGGATTCTTGCCCCCCTCATTGCAGGGGTCACTCTGCCCAATCTCTTCTGGGGCCCTGGGCAATCTGATTTAGTACATAACCTAGCAACCGGCAGCCCTGCCTGTGGTGGTGGAGGTTGGACTTCAATGATCCTTGAGGTCCAACCCAAGCCATTCTATGATTCCATTCTATGGTAATTCTTCTTTTTATTCCATTTCTGATCAGTGTTCCTGCTCCCTGCAGGTATTGCTTCTACCTGACCTGCCTCCTCCCTATGCTACAGTGTCATAGCATTCAGGCTGTCTGCTGGCTAGATGTTGGATGGGCAAATGTAATGCTCTCTGATGCATCTTTTCCACTATATAAATAATATGATTTAATGTATACACTGGTTCACCAGATTGATGTTTAGAATTATGACACCAACCTGAAAAATACTGTTAATGATGTATCACTCTCTTTTCTTGAAAGATTTCTCACTATCACCAAAAAGAAAAAAATAATCCAAAAACCTTATTGATAAAGCACAGCCCCTGCCTACAAGCTGAGATCTTCCCCCATTTGGGATTCATGGATAACAATTTGTTCCTCTCTCATTGTGATCCTCATTCAAGGAAAAATAAGCAAGATGTTCATCACTTCTCAGGTGTCACGTTGCACCTTGTAGGAGCTGGCTGTCTGTTAACATCCATAGATAAGATAAAATCACAAACTCTATTCTGTCCCAGCAGGAATCTTGCTGCTGGTATTCTCATTAAATAGTACAGAAATCACAAACTTGTACTATATACAAACTTTTGACTACATTGCATTTTTAAGCACAGTGTATGTGTCTCTCCATCTTGAAGATTTATCCAGCCCATTTTGTTAAGAAAGCAGCAATATATGTATGACAATGTATTTTCTTGGTTGCAAGGCATTTTGTTTCATTATGCTTCTCTGCCTCTTTAATTCCTTCAAAATGTATGTTTCTTGTATTTCCATAAAGGCCATAAATAGCTTGAAGTTATCAGAAGTGTCCCTTAGTTAATGGTGTTCTCAACTGACACAGCAAGTTTAAATCTATTGGGATTTTTTTAACCTTGAAACATAAGCTCAAGTCATATGATTATTGTCCGTGTTTTCCTTTTGGTTAAACAAATCTGCAAGGATCTAAAAATATTCTTTTGAGTTGAGAGTTTGGCTTAATTTGAAACAGTAACAGCCACATGGGAATATTTTGATTAATTTAAACCTCCTTTATCTGTCTTTTCTTTCCAAAGAAAAACTCTGAAGCCAGTAGGTGTGTGTAAATTACATTATTTAATGGACTAAATTATTTCCCAGGCAGTGCACACTGGCTGCTATTGACTTTAGTGAAATTAAGAACATATATATCCAAAGGTAGATTTCAGCCCTCTCTATGGTGTTTTTCTGACTAGTTTTGTACCAGTTAATTAAAAAGTGCTTTCTCAGGGCTGCACTATTGGCTTCATGGTCTGTGTGTAGTGTTTTATATTAGCTGAAGAGCTTGGCAAAACAACGTTAATTTTCAGCAAAGCCACATAGAAAGGGTGAGAAGATTTCCTGGTCAAATTCTGTTTCTACTGTTACATGAGATATTACCTGCTTTATTGACAACAGCCTTTATATTAATGCAGGGGGATTTTTTCTTGTTGTGGCCTTAGTACTGTAGTTACATATGCTACTAATCATGGCAAACTGTACTTTTTAGTCTTCTTCAAAGTTTATTTCATTTGTCAGACTATGACAACAGTGGGCTAAAAGGAGCTTGAGGGACAAACACCACTCTATTGGGCAATACTAAGAGTCATTTTACAATCAAAATATGTAACAGTAGTTTCAATAATATCAAAATTGCAATTGCAGTTGAAATATATACAATGGGAATCCAGGACTTCTCTCATGCTTTGCAACCACCTGGACTTTTGCAAGAGTTACGAGAATCAGTGTGAGCATTACTCATTACACCTTTATTTCTGGCAATATATTAGTTACTGGTGTACTCTGGCATGGACCAATTTCATGGTATGTCTATTGGTGGATAATAAGTCCTTTTGAGTTTGTGTTTCTCCAGTCATTATAGTTGAAATAGTTTTCCGAACCATACTGAGGTGTTTTTTTTAGAAAAATACATCCTCTACTGAGTAAACTAAGATAAGATAGTTGCTTTTGTATTATAGTAAGTTTAGTAAACCATGTTTCATGGCTTATGTGCAATAAAAAAAATGTGTGAGCCAACTCTTTAGGTACAGGTTTGTTTTTCCTGTATTTCAGAAAGTATCCATATATAGTGGGATTTTATCTACACCATAAATTCATTATCATTTGTAGCAGTAGGAATAATTACCATCCCTAATTGGATTAAATTGCTTATTTGCTTCAGGTTTTCATAGCATTATCAAAAATTGCTTTTCTTAAAAATATATTTTGTATGTGTGAGTAGTTGAACTGAATTTAGACATCAGACACCTGAAACACTTGGCTCATGCAAGACTATTTGTGTGGGTTGATGACAACATTAGCAGTAATCTTGTGAGCGTCTGTGATTTGTGAATGCATTCAGCC